TTTACCACAAGCCTAACTTTAAATTTATAAATAGTGCCATCTTCCTTCATCTTCCTTTTGAAGATCTACTTACATTTTAAAGGCTTATTGCCAAGAGGAAGGTTTACCAATTCCCAAGTATGGTTCAACAAGATAGACACGATTTCTCAATTGATAGCCTCTTCCCAGAATGGTGCTTTTGGGCACGTTATAACTTCTTTATACGTTCGAGGCTCATTTTTTGACAGATACGTCAGATAATCAGGTTCAAAGGATGTGGCGGTCCTTTGCCTCTTACTACATCTAGGTTCATTCTCTACATGTTCAATACTTGTCGTAGCATCCAAAGGTCTCACAACGTTATTATCATTATTACCACTTGATTCATATACCTTAATATGTCTTCAAAGAACGTAACTTCCCTTGACTCAATAACCGTATTAACATGTATATCTGAGACATCAGATTTATAAACCAGAAACCGATAAGCACTACTATTAAGTGCATAACCAATGAATACACAATCCACAATTTTAGGTTCGATTTTCAACCTTTTAGGTTTAGGAACTGTGACTATAGCCAAGCACCCCCACACTCTCAAGTATTTTAAGGATGATTTCTTTCCTTTCCATACTTCGTATAATATGTTCTTTGTCTTCTTGTGGGGCACTCTATTAATAATATAGTTAGACATCAAAATGGCTTCCCCCATAAGTTCTGTGGCAAACTGAATGTGATTAACATAGCGTTCATAATTTCTTTCAACTTTCAATTTTTCCTTTCTGCAATTTTATTTGATTGCGGTGAATACGGAGCAGATGTCTGGCGTATAATACCAGGCTCTATCCTAAATTCCTCGAAGGGGCCATCATATTCTCCCCCACGATCACTCTTTACTATTTTAATTTTCTTGTTAAATTGATTTTCAACTTCACTTTTATATTGTCTAAAAGCTACAATAGCCTCATCTTTACTATTAAGTAAATGAACATAACCGTATCTACTGCAATCATCAATAAAAGTAATAAAATATTTCTTATTACCCCTAGATGGTACAAATTTCATGTTACATATGTCAGTATGTATTAAATCTAACAACTCGGTTGATCTTTCAATAGAAGTAAAAGGTAATTTCAAAAATTTTGATTCAACATACACTTGACATTTATTATTTATACATTCAAATTTAGGTAATAAATCTAAATAAATTAAACTTTTATTTGACTTAAAATTAAGTGTCCTAATCTATTATGCCATAAATTAGAAGTCTCAAGCAAATAAACAGAAGTAACATTATTATTAATATTATTGTCATTGGTTACAGTCATCACATTCAATTTGAAAAGGCCCTCACTAAGATAATTTTTTCCTACACACGCATCAATCTTAGAAAGTACAAACTTATGAGAAACAAATGCAAGTTTAAAACCATTCTTGGTTAACAGAGCCAGACACTAAGTTCTTGTGAATATCAGGCATGTGGAGCACATCATTGAGTGTCACTATCTTGCCATAAGTCATCTTCAAAGTCACATTCACAACACCTTCAACCTTTGAAGTAGATGAATTACCCATATAGAGTTTCTTATTATTCTTTGTAGGAGTGTAAGAGGAAAACATCCACTTGTTTGAACAGACATGTCTAGTGGCACTAGTGTCCACCCACCATTCTTTAGTGTCTCCTACAAGGTTACACTCTACCACCACCGCTACCAAATTCATATCTTTAACTTTATCAACAATATCAACCATGTCTGTTTAAGTGGTCTTCTTCTTTTTGAATTTTTGTGGCTTCTTTTGATCTTTCTTACAGTCCTTTGCACGGTGGCCAGGATTACCGCAATTGTAACAATTGTTCTTGAACTTTTTGCCTTTGCCTTTTCCTTGTTTAGTAGTTCCTTCTTCAAAATTTTCTCGCTTCTTTGATCTTGATCCCTCTTCAACAACATTGCCCTTAGAGACCATATGATTGTTGCCAAATTTCCTTTCAGCGACCTTGTTGTCTACTTCTATCCTCAACCTCATTATTAGATCTTCAAGTGTTATCTCCTTACGCTTATACTTGAGATAACTCTTAAAGTCCTTCCAAAATGGTGGTACTTTTTAAAAAAACACTAATGAATCCGAACTCAACAGAAGTTGTCTCCTTATGATAATTTGTTCCCTCACTAAGGTGTCGAAGGTTGATGAATACTTGTCTCCTAGGATAGAACAATTTTGCGGCGAACCATCACAACCAATGACTAGTTCGGTTCAAAATAAAACCGAAAGAGAAGAACCGGTTCAATTCAAAATTTGACGGAAAATAACATTTCGGTTTAAATTTGGAGGGAAGTAAGGGTTGAACAAAAATATAATTTAGGCACATACTTCTAACCTATAGGGGTCTGACATGCACATGCTTGCATACACAAGGTTCTAATTAAGGCTGTTGTGTTATAGTTTCTTTTTCCTTTATCTCTTCGTTCTCAGTAAGCAGAGGTCATGTTGGAATAGCATAGCTGATATCATTACTTGCAGGAAATTCAGTAAAATGTTTGAATAGCAAGTAATTTCCTGAATTTTAGATCATTAGGATGAAGTTATGTATTCTTGTTTACCACAGTATAATAATAATAATAATAATAATAATAATAATAATAAAGGCATCTTTGAAAAATATCTTTGGAAAGTGGCATAAAAAATGGCATTTTTGACCGAAATGGCATCTTTGAAAAAATAATAATATTATATTAAAAAAAACCCCAAAGTTCTAGCAATTATATTTAAAAAGAATCAAGTGACATTTGGTTGAGGAGAAATTTTTTGAATACTAGAGAAATGTAATTACTAGGGAAATGGTTGGAAAGTGAGTTTGGTAGGAAAATGTAAAAAAAATTGTTTAGTTGACCGAAATATTACCAGGGAAATTTATTTAAATTTGCAAAATCTATGTTCGAGAGAAACTTCGCACCTGTTTTTTCACTTCTCCAATTATCTCAAATTACCACATCTCAAGTGGTATTCTGTAACAGTGAATTTCATCCAAAAATTAACACAAAAGTCATTTTCCCATCTATCCTATTTGCCTAATATTTTTTTCAAAAACCTGAACCAAACGTGATATTTTCCAATATTCACTCACATTTTTCCATCAATCCCAAAATAAATCTTTTACCAAACACTACCGAAGGGATTACTAGAAAGTCAGGATTCTTTTACTGGAAATAATTTGAATTCTTATTTTTTTATACATAATTTGAATTCTTATTAACTCTTAAATAATAATTAAATGACCTCCGCCATTTTAATTTATCTAATAATTATTTTTAAATCTTTACAAAATTTAGCTTGATTTTATGAATTTTTTTTTCTTTTTCCGATCGGTGTAACATTATTCTTAAATCAATTGCAAAATTAAAATACTCAAAAATCTAATAGCTCAAAATTATTTCAAACAAAACTAGGTTTGGTTCAAAAAAAAGAAAGAGAGGCTATAACTCATTAATGGTCTACGACCTGACCTGAGCTTGATTTTTACATAAGTTAGGTTAAGATTTATTTTAAAGTTTATTTAATTAAAAAGCTATACTTTAAGTTATCAAAAGTTTAACGAGCTAGTCTATTTAAGTGAATATGAGTATATACGATAACTTCATCATCATTATTATTATACCTTAAAATCATATATTTATTAATATATATAAAATCTTAAGTTTGTTTTAAAGATAGATTCCTTTGTTTATCTAAAGACCTTATAAAATTGTACCCCTACAAAAAAAAAAGACCTTATAAAATTGATCTTTAAATAAGATTTTTTTACCATACCAAGCTTTAAAAAGGTGAGATTATGGATGTGCATGACAACTATTTTGTTCCTGACACTGTTTTTGAAAAAAAATAATTCTTTTCTATTTCTGTTCCTTGAAATATTTCTGAGAAAAAAATGTGTTTGATAACTTGTACTCTTTTTATTCCGAGAATGAGAATTGTGTTTGATAATATAACAAAAAATATATTCCGATTAAGCATAAATTTTTTTCGGATCATCACTTTTCTTTTCATATGGTGTGGTGGTGGTGGCGGCAACAACAACGGTGGTGGTCATAGCATGTGGTAGTGATGACGACAGTGGCTGTGATGATGGTGATGGTAATGGTGGCGATGATGGTAGTGGTGGTGATGGTGGTCATAATGGGATAGTGAAGGTGGTGACGGCAGCGTGGCTGTGACGATGGTGGCAGTGGTGGTGGTGACGGTAGTGGCTACGACAATGGTAGTGGTGGTTGGTAACAGTGGTAGTGATTGTGGCGGCGGCGGTGGTAATAGTGACAATGGTAGTGGTGGCGGTGGCATGGTGATGATAGTGGTGTTGATGACGGCAGTGGCTGCGATGATGCCAATGGTGGTTGGTGACGTTGATGGTAGTAATGGTGGTGACAGTGGCATAGTGGTAGTGATGATGATGACGTTGGCATGGTGGTAGTGATGTTGGTGATGGTGATAATGATAGTGGGGGTGTTGATGATGGTGGCAGTGGCGTCGTGATGGTGGTGATGATGGTAGTGGTGGGTGGAGACTGATTGAGAGAAACAAATGTTTCTCATTTTGTGCCCTGGAACAAAAAAACAGAAAAAGTTTTATTCTTTTTTTTTTGTTCCACAGCACAAAAATTAAATTGGTTCATTGTGAGAACAAAAAAATAAACCGGTTTTACCAAACTAGTTTTTTATCCATTTCTGTTCCCGGAAACAGAAATTAAAAAAAAAAATTGATTTCAGGAAGGTTGTCATATACACCTTATACCTTTAAGAGAAAGTTTATATCAAAGAAATAAATGAAAATCAAATTTTATGTTTGAGAATAGATCAAACCGGTTTAAAATAAGACTAACTCACCCTAGTCAAATGTTTATTAGATTATTATATTGTATTATTCTAACCTATGAGGCCACAATATCACATAATATAATGGTCAAAATTCCAGAAAAAAACAAAATAAAATAGAACGGGTCAATGGTAAAAGCGAATTACTGCATTTACTTAAGCATGCTTATTAGCTAACTCGAGGAGAGATAAACACAGTTCTTGGGGTTTGGAAAGCATAGCCATATGATCTGCTTCTTTGATCTCCCGCACCAAATCAATCCCAGCATTTTGGATCATCCATTGCTGAAACTCCAATGGATATATTAAGTCCTCATTGCAAACAATAAAAGCGCGTGGAACTGACCCATATCCCTCTTCAGATAAATTCTTTGCCACATACAGCTCTTCAGCAAAAAGGGACCCTGGCCTTATTAAACTCTTGGCCAACTCCAGATCCTGCAAAATCCAAGCCAAAAATATTCTGAGTGGGCTACAAGCATTTGTGTATATATATGTGTAAACAACATATTCAACATAAAAGTTTGAAGGCTATATTAAATAGAATTACACAGTCTAATGGAATTGTGATCACTTAATTACAAAGACTTTAATATTATATACAAAGAACCAATTCAATAAAAAAAACTTAAACTGATATATAAATAAAAATCATATTATATATTATATTTCTTTTAAGGGTGAAATGAGATTGCTGAAAGAAGAAACCATGAATACCTCGGTGGAGCAGAGTTGATAGAGCTTAATGGACAAGAACTTATGACCAAAAAGTACCGACGTTTTGCTTCCACAGGATGAGAGTTCACAGTCTAACCTGTCCTTAACTGGGTATCTCGCAGTAAACTATCCATACCAAAAGGTCAAACAGATTAGTAATGAACATTAAGACAAGGAAATGTATTAATTATTGATTTTTATTGGGACAAAAATGTTCTCATATGACAAATTTAAGCAATATTCTCATCTCCAAGTTTTGACAAATTAAACGATAGTAACTATAAGAAATATCTAGTAAGGGAAAAAGTGTTAGCTTTTTGCATAACCATACCTGTTCTGATAAGTATGATGGTTTGTGTAGGGTATCAGGCATATCAGCTGTTAAAAAAACTCCCATTTCTATTTTTTCGGGAAAAATGTCCATAGCAAATGCTATGCTCAACCCTCCAAAACTATGTCCCACAAGAACCACCTTTTCATTTGGAGCAAGCGAAGTCAAGAACTCCAACAAAGGCTTAGAATACTCAGAAAACGTATGAACGTCTTCAATTTTCTGTGTGTCGATGCCAGAAGCTGCAAGGTCGATAGTTGTGACCTTGTGGCCTGAAGACTCCAATAGTGGCTTAAGCTTGTACCAACACCAGGCGCCATGGCAAAGACCATGCACCAGAACAAAATGCTTTGGGTTGATATTTTCTTCAGCCATTATGCTTTTGTTGCATTTTGCTCCTTCTTATTCTTCGCTATATATATATATATATAGGAAAATACAAAGTTTAATTTGGCATTGCATGAAATTTATTTCAAAGGTGATGCGGATTAATTAATCACTAGCTGACAATCTCCACTCTGTTGCCAGCTAACTTATCCCAGCTGGCATTTCAGTAATTGATTTTTCGTTTAGAATATCAAAATTATAGTTTGAAGACAAACACTAAACATGCTTCGATTAAAAATGTACTTATTTTGCTGAATCCGAATCAGTGATTTATGCTTTCAATACTCCTTAGTTTGCATATAGGCCTAGACAAATAATAAAAGGGTGTGTTAGAATTAAAGTTTGATATAAGTGATTTATTTATTATTTGTTTAAGTAATCGATTGTCTAATACAAATGGATAAAAATAAGAAATAGATTAAATATACATAATTTATTAAAAGTATTATTATTTGTTAAATACATATCCTCTCTTTAGGTATAAAATAAATTATGTTGTTGAATATATTTGTTACCTAAATATAAGAAAAAATAAATAAATAAGTCTTTCTAAAAATAATACCAAAGAAAAGAATCATTGACATACACACTTATAAAATAAGATTTCTTTTGCATAGAGGTGTCTGTGTCAGTGAGAAAAGTCACAATAGAGCACGCCTCATACACCTCTGTATTTTGGTGTGGGTCTCGTTGGATGAGCACGCTAATGCTGTTTGTTTATTATGATTTATGACTATCTCACTATGTTGTCACTTTTTTAAGTCTTTAAAAACCCTACAAATTCGCTAAGCTTGTTTGGTGTGATGAATAAGTTTATATTATACGTTATGATATTTTTTGTTGTTTGCTATGATCATTGTATAGTATAAGCTTATACAGTAGAATCCCTTAATACATCAAAACGACGTATAACTTAATTCGGTATAAGGGGAGGGATTAAGCCTTACAATTTTAATAAAAATTAATTTTTTTTGGACAAACTGATCAATAGATTTTTATAAAAATTAATTCATATGACATTTTTGGAAGAATTATATAAATTCTTTATTAAAGGATATTTTTATTAAAAATATTTATTTTTATCCTATCTAGTATTATACAATACATTATCAAATACTAGATGATATTATCTTATATAATATATTATTTTATACAATACCATGTCAAACGCTGGATAGAATTAAAATTCAATCAGATCTTATACTATCAGATTTTATACTATTAGACCTTATCATATACTATGCACTAAACATGTCCTAATATTACATTTTATAAATACGAGATTGATCCCATATAGAGTTCGATTAAAAATTTTAAAATTGATAAACTCTTTTAATTTAATTGTAAGATTAGTGAAATAATAAAATGTAACAAGTCAAATAACTAGATTTTCACATGACTAGAAAAGATCCCTTGTTAAAAATTTTTTAAGACAAATAAAAAAATCATTGTTAACCTATCATTTTCACGTCTGTATATTCATTACAACGAGTGAATCTTATCCTTACACTAATCAATGAAGTGTAGAAGCCTACTTAAAAATTGAGGGCTTAACTAGAACATGGACATACCCCACAATATATTTCAAGCTTTTATTACCTTTGTTGATAGTCTGCATTGTATAAGTGAGATCATTATATTTTGCAATAATACCAAAATTCGATCATAGTTACTTTTTATTTTTATTTTTGAATAATAAAATCTTAAGTGGGGTTAAACATCGGTATCCGCCACAGTCAGGGTCCTCACATTGGCCAGCGAGATTCAAACCCACGTCCTTGTGGAGTATGAGTCAAATCCTTAACTAACTGTGTCCACCCTTGTTAGCATATTATATGCAAAATATTAAGCTGAAATGTGTAAAAAATCAATTCAATCTAAAAACTTAAGTTGTTGGGTGAAACTACATCAATGATTTTATATATCTCTAACACGCCCCCTCACAAGAGAGCTCATCGAGCTTGAAAGATTAGACTCAGTCTACCTGTGTTAAGAAATTTCACAAAAAAATTGGGGGACGGCGATGATCGAATCTGGGACATCGAGGCTCTAAAACCATATAAAGAACCAATTCAATCCAAAGGCTTAAGCTATTGGATGATGCTACATTAATGATTATATATATATATATATATAGGTAGGATCATTTGACACCGGTGTCAAATTTGAAATTTGACACCTCATCTGAGAGTCATTAGATCGGAAAAGATCAATTGCTCTGATTTGTGAGCATGTGACATCATTGATCTTTTTTGATCTAATAGCTCTCAGATGAAGTGTCAAAGAATCCTATCTCATATATATATATATATATATATATATATATATATATATATATATATCACATAAATTCATGAAAACAATCTCAGTTATATATAGATAAATTGATGTACGAGAGAGAAAAATGTTAGACAAATTAAATTAAAGTAAGTAAATAAGATTAAATTTCAACAAGATACAATCAAAGGTTCAGAATCTACTAATATTAATTATATTGAATTATTGTATTTAAATAATTTTTTTCATGAACATCTAGCGGCAAAGTATGTCACGGAATTAAATTAAGTGAAGAATCAAATCACACAACAAACTATAATTAAATTACCACCACTTTTATTATCATTCGATCAAAATCAAATCAACGGTTATAAAATAATATCAAATGAGAGTTGTTGATTTGATTTTGATTAATCAGTAATAAAAGTGGTTGTAAGAGAAAAGTATTTGTAAATATAACATCCATCTAATTTTAATATTAGGTAAATAATTTAACATAATAATTGTAAAATAACTAAGGTTTTATTTTCTTCTTTGTAGAAAAAATTAACAAGACGTAATAATATTATAACACAATAAAATAAACACTAAATTTGGTCTGGTGACGAGAGATTTGGGTAAATTATATTAGATCGTGTGCTCAATTTTTACTTGTATAAAAAAAACAATAAAATTATCCAACTAATAATTTTTATTATAAATCTTCTTTATCTCCTCAAGTTTCTCCGCATGCAGTCGTGCAATGCTCTTATTTTCTATTTTGTGTTGCTCTGTTATGCCCTTTCCTTCTGATTATGCGTTGTGCCCCAGCCTCTAAAAAAAAAAAGAAAAAGAAAAGAAAAGAAAGGTTCATTTGTTGCATAGCGTTTCATTTACATTAAGCATTTGTATAAATTAGTTATTTTGGTCGGGATATGATATTATAACAACTATCTAGCGTTACTACTAATATTATTATCAATCAATTTTACTGCTAGATCGATTATTTGATTCAATGGTTATATTTATTTCCATCTTTATATGGTTATAATTTCTCATATTTAATACTTTATATTTATTTCCACCTTTGTATGGTTATGATTTTTCATATTTAATGCTTTCGCATTAAATATGAAAAATCATAACCATATAAAGATAGAAATAAATATAACCATTGGATCAACATAATCGATCTAATAGTGAAATTGATTAGTAGTAATATTGATAGTAGCCCTAATTGGTCGTTACAAATTACAATATCCTACCTCATTTTGGTCTATCAAAAAAAAGAAATTAGTTATTTGAGATATAATAATGCCTATTTCTTACCGAAATAAAAATATTAGACTAAAGTTAACACTATAAGTAACTAACATAAGATTGTATTGTGCAATGCACAAGGCTGAGGAAATGAACCCATACGTAACCCAGTCATGGGTCCAGTAACTACTCTCATTGTAAATGGGCTGTTATTGGACAAGGCTAATACTCAAGCAGAATCTTAGGCTTAAAGGAGAAATCATTAAGCAGGAATTTGTTATCATAACCAAACAAACATCGGACATTTTAAAAGCCATTGTAGGTTATAATAAAAAGTAAAAACACACGTCCCTAAATATGCATGTAAAATGTTAATTTGGATGTTTCTGGTAGAAAATTATTGCACAAAAATTTCTCCTTAAGAAATAAAGTGAATAACTAAAAGTGCATTCATTTTTTAATTTAATTTAAAATTTATCATGATCTTAACTTATTAAACTTTGAGAATAAATATATCTTTAGTTGCTATTTTTTTTTAAGAAAAAAAAAACAACTTTAGAAGAATTTTTAATGTCCGAGGTGAAAATTCTTTTGGCCTTTGTCTAAACTTATTAATCATAACATGCAAATGTAAAATAATGAGAAATTAAGCCACTAAAATTGGTGTAATAGCGAAGGACTTAAGCAGTTTGCATAAGATTATAGGTTTAAATCTCAGTACATCCACTTTATTAAAAAGATGACGAGAAATTTATTTTTGGGAACCATTATTGTCTATATTATACAATTAAATTAACAGTTAAAAATATATTTAAATATATATTTTTAATGTAATTCACACAGCCTTACACACAATAATGGTTAATTTTAGTAACTATATATAAATTAAGGGAAAAATTCTATGAACGGACAGCTAGGGAGGTGGATAAGATTTTGAATCTTTCTATGATTAGGTGACGTGACTTAAGAAAGAAGTAAGAACACACGATGCCCATCCTAACATAGGATTCAACTTTTTAAAAAATGCCCATATACAATTCATAGGGCGTGACAAATTTTATTGACAATGTCACACATAAAAGGTTTGTAGGAACAACATAAACTAACATTTCAGTATTCATACTTTTGAATTAAGGATTTGAAATCAATGTTGAATTGAGGATTTGAAATCAATGTTGAGTTAGTAGGTTTATGCATGCTCCCAGTGAAGACCTGAAAAAGGGTTGCTGTTTTCAAAAGGAAAAAATCACTCAATTGAAGGTTACATCGATTTTGACTGGGCATGGGATAGAACCTTCAGACAATCTACCTCAGGGTATTTTATATTTGTGGAGGGGAACTTGGTGACTTGGAGAAGAAAGAAACAGAAGGTAGTGACAAGGTCTAGTGCAGAAGCCAAGTTTAGAGGAATCACTCGTGGTGTTTGTGAGTTGTTATGGATTCAAAGTGTGTTAAAGGATTTGGGTATTAAT